ATAATAATCGACACAGAGCACTTCCCGTACCTGCACGTCCACGATCCCTCGAACGGCTGTAGGGATGTCGATAGGTGGAAACCTGCAGTGTGCCAGCAGAAAGTTCTCTCCCCGGTCTTTCATGCGACTGTTCTTCTGGCTGCAGCTTATATTCCAATGGTTGGATAATAGTAGTTGCAGGTGTGGAGGTAGATGCCAAAGACCACATTCGCAGCATACCGTCGGCGCAGCCTGCGACAGCATACTGACGCTGTCCAAGAGCTATACAGGTCGCACGAGATTTGCAATCTGTGAAGGAAATCGTCAATAATCAGAAAATTCAATTAGATACGCGGGTAACTGTGGATGTATATACATTTAGTCTTAGCAAGCGTAGCAGATGTCGTACTACGGGTATACATGCGTGTTGGCGTGCTCTGGACAGTCATTCCACAATACGTCACCTACGCAATCTCGACAGTTTACTGTCGCCGCCCAAGGGTTATGGAGATATGTCACTCAGATTGAGGGGCAAATAAAAACCTAAAACGCGTAGAGATATACTCGTTCAAAGCAGTGTCCACTAAATTCACTGGGATTGTGCGGGCGAGAGCACATCCGCCTAGAGAAGTGCTGCACCCTTACATCCAATTTAACATATATGCCGAGATAATAATGCCCAATTAGAGGCCGACTGGAAAATCTCACGTTCGTAAATGTGCCAACGGTGACAAAATCCTTAAAGACCACTGAATATGTTGCAAGCAAGGACACATCAGTCTGCAGAAAAGTGCCACACATATACTTGTTTGGACACCAATACTTCGATGAGAACATGAATGTATACAAATTTAGTCTTTGCAGGCGTAGCAGATTTTCTACTACAGGAAAACATGCATCACAGACAATAGACTCTAAAGCCACGGAGCTGAAGCCTACATAGGCATAGCAGCACAAACAGAAGTACCGCGCCTACTCAGTGCTGTGCGCTAGCCGGGTCTGCATTGCCCTAATCGGGGCCGGATAAAAAACCTTACTCGCCGCAATCATACGCTTCAAGGAGCACAGTTCTAAGGTGGTAAGGTCCACAAAATATGATCAAAGTATGATGTATGCAACGACACCCTCATTCCGCACAGAATAACCGCACTTACACAGAGTGTGGAGCAGTTGTCGGGTCTCCAACGCCCAGACTTTGATGATATTCTCAGCCGAACAAGACATCACATTGTCTTTGTCTGTGGCTATATGTGTGACTCTGGAACCATGTCGTGGTTCGAAATATTGCCGGTCCTCGTGCAGCAGATTCATCTGCAACGAATGGAGATAGGTTGTTTATTTACTTGTGCACAAATGTGGCCTCCTGTTTCGTTTCTTCTTAGAATTTGGCACGCACAACAACCTCGGCATCTGTTCCCCATCACTGCGGCTTCTATGATGCAAATACATGTGAATATGTACGCACACACGAGCCCGAATCTTGCAATATATGGGGTACGTGCATGGTCGAGATGTGCAGCCGCATTACGTGAGGCCCCACCCACGCAATTGGGGATCAAGGTGTATGTCATGGCATCCACCCACAATCAAAGGATGCACTCCAGCACCGGTGACCAATAGCATTGGTCCAACTCTATAGCCCACAACGTGATAATTCTGAATCACGCAGAGGACTTCAAACCCATAGAAACCCCTAAGCACTTGGAAACCCCATTCGCAGATATCACCCTTACAGATATACATTACTCGCTCTCCTGAGTGCCACCAACCTATTTGCCACTACACATACCCTATTCACACTAAAATATTCATTCACTCGCATGAGATGCCTAGCACATATTAGGATTTACACACACAAGCCTAATATCCAATACGTACCTTCGCTAGGGCTCCGGTAGACGTGCCATACACCAGCGTGCGTGCATCGGCTACGCACGAGGCTGTGACTACGTGATTGGGTGCCATGGGTGTGCGGCCCTTGTACAGTCTACCCTTATTCGTCCCCCGTCTGAGTTCGCCTCCTTCTACAGATGTCAATACGAAGTCGCCCACGCCGTTACCTACACATCATGAAAGGAGTGGAAAGTATGAATGGTTATATTGTGTTAGACATTTCTTGCTCATAAGGAATGGTGTGGGGTGAATAAATGATGATAATCATCTGCTACTTGCACGAGGTGGGTTGGAATGTATGAATTGTGTTAATTGCGTGGATATGTTCAGTTTTACATTTTGTAAAATCTGCTTTCATTGGCGCGCGCCTCCCCACAGGTCCAACATATCCCACACTTTAAATGTTCATCTCAATATTATAGATTAAGACAGAAAACGATACGATAGTGGTACGTGGCGTCGTATAAAAATAAAGTGGTACTTACCGAATTTTGACACTGAACAACTCGGCCAATAAGCTGGTGCAGGCTGAACAAGTTCAATTGAGCTCGAAACATAGTGAGAGGGGTTCCGTAGGGTAGTTGTAAAGGACAGCCACCATGTAAAAGTCACACACATATCTATAAAACAGAACGTATGCACACAGAGTGCAATTTTACACATACATACATATGTAATTTGCTTTCGTTAGACACAGCCTGTATATCTATATACAGGTCCATACATACATTTACGTATACAACTCACGACACACCTATACCCACGGCATTGCCTGCACGGATCTCTCTCTGCCCCATGCCATCGATATATAACTGATTGATACTGATGAGACCATGGTCCATCTCTTTGGAGAAGCCTCTGTGTCTCTCCCATACTCTGCATGCCAGTCAAATTATACCAGCTTATTAATTCAATGAGACACATACGTAAAATGGCTGGTATATTGTCGATTCACGTATGTCTGCTATTGTAACAAATTATACGTGCCTAAGTGAAACATGTTTCGAGCAAAAACATAAAAGAAAAGATTCTAGTCACTCTTAGGTATTGTTTGCGGACCTGCAATAAATACATTGAGCTGAGCTACTGACTATGCGAGGCAGAAAACTGAAGGCACATTAAATCGATGGCCCCAGGCACTATGCGGTATATAGACACATACCTCAATAGCCTAACTCGTGCCAGATACTCTCGTTTCCAAGAGATATTCTTGATTCTGCTTACAAATTGGGTGTCACGTAACCAGAACTTAGTCATGAATGCATCCCTCCACACGTTGTCATCCTGGATGATGAAGTTGAATCGCTGGCATACAAATCCCAGTTTGTCCTTTAAGAGTAAAAAAATATACGGTCAAGTAATAGCTAAAAATAACTATACTTACATAGACACGTAGATACATAGATACATACATATATACATACACACACACACACACACACACACACAATATATATATATATATATATATATATATATAGTAGTAGTAGTAGTTAAGTAAGAACATAGTATATAGTATATATAAC